CAATTATAAATAGATGGACTGATTTTAAGATATGTGATTGAATTTGTGGGTCCATGGAAGACGTTCCGTATAAGATTGTTTCTAATGAAAAGCCATTGGTATAATAAAATTTATTTATTCTTACAGCATCAAATCTGGGACATACAAAGAAATAATGACGTGCATCTTCATTAGGGTGGCCACACAAACAATCTGCTCTCTCTGATATATGTCTGTTGTGTTTGTCAGCATTGAGATCGCTACATCCTAACCTTAAGCGACAGTGGAGGATTTGACAAACTCTTGAACCTATATTTGGATCGAAATGAATGTCTTTAGCTCTATGACTTAAAGCAGATTTAAAATCATTGATGTCTGTAAGAGATTTAATATTTTGCGGTAAAGCATTCCATAAACTTACAGCGTCCGGTAGAAATGAATTGCCATATAGAGCAGTACGGCAGGCAATAGTTTGCAAATGCGATGCGTTACGTAAGGGATACTTACTGACTTGAGAGACGAAGGGAGGGACGAGTTCGTTTAGATAGTGGGGTAATCTGTTATGATACATTTTGAAAAATGTGATTAGTTTAGCTATTCTTCTTCTTTCGTGAAGAGAAACAGAGGATGTTTCAGCGTAGATTTTATCGTGACTGGTACCGCGAACAGCTCCACATATCGTACGTAAAGCGTCTAAGTGCATGTTTTCCAAGATTGTTGCTTGAGTTTAGGTACAATTGTCATACATATGGCTACAGTAGTCAAAGATCGGAAGTATAAACGACGTATACATACGAGTCAGGGTGTTTCTCGTTAATCGATATTTAAGGCTTCTAAAGCAATTCATCATGGGGCTGACTCTCTTAACGATATCGTATATATGTATATCCCATGTACAATCGTTTTGAAGAGTTATACCTAAATGTTTATGGCTCGAAGTTTCTTCGATTCGAACGTCGTTGAAAAACAAGCTTGGATGAGGACTGTTTTAGTTTTAGAAGGGTTGAAATCGATTTTCCAGGTTTTTGCCCAGTTTGCTATTTTTAGTAGATCATTATTCAGACTAAACGCCGCTACGTAAGGGTCATCTATTATTACATAGATAGAAGTATCATCTGCAAATAATCGTATATTACTGTCAATGCCTTAACAATATCATTTATGTAGACCAAAAACAGAAGTGATCCTAGAACAGAACCCTGCGGGACGCAAGCTTTTACCGGTTTAATATTAGAACTATAACCATTTATGACTACACACACGGATCGATATTCTAAATAACTGTTAAACCATTGTAATAGTGAACCATCGATTCCACATGATTTTAACTTATGCACGAGACCTTTGTGCCATACTCGATCAAAAGCTTTGCTGATATCGCAAAATACTGCACAAAATTGATTCTGTTAAATGCTATCACAAATGAATAAAAACAAAATACAAATATTAGAAATAAAACAGACTAAAGTCTGCAACAATGTCAAGCCATTACCTTGCTCGAGGAATGTATCCATCAATATCCACATAGGTTTAGTACCGATTTTGACAGTCCCAAATTTGACAATGAAATTTCTCACTTCTGTAATTGATCTAGCCAGTTATCCCAATTTTGTGAACTTTGGTACACTTTTCAGCTCTTCTCGTGTCCGTTTTTTGACATTACTGGTAAGGATATAGGAACCAATTGAGCTTTGGTCTGGATGTGTATGCTGTTTGTCCCCTCTTCTGACAACAGTCCCATCTGCTGTTGTAGTGGCTGAGGCTGTTTTCAGGCACTGACATCTCCATATAACGGTACAATTCCTGTTGGCAGTTCGTCTCAGATACCTATATCCAGCAACAATTCTCCACCTGCTCTTCTACCATCTAATTTTGTACCTTCCTCAGCCATGATGAAATACTTTGCAAGTAATTGGTAAAGCTACTTATCCCATCCTGCTTACCTTTTTTTAAATATTGCATTCATACATCTCAACGGATAATGCTGCTTCTCGCATCCTTTTCTCTCAGTTGATTGTGGTATTAGTGTTCAAGAATGTTACTTGTTCTGTACGTCTCTCAGGTGATTTACATAACTACCCTTAATTGGTGCAGCTAGTTATCCCAGGTTTGACAGCGAAACTTCACGCCTTACCAAATCAGTGACCAAGACGCTGTCAAAAATGAGACACTACCTCCACATAAAGGAACAATATGCCATTCATTTGCAGCTGACAAAGAATCCTGTTCCATGTCAAGTGTCTTTTAACAGTCTAATATGCGAAAAAGGGATACATCGCTTCAGTGTTTTTCACATTGGTGTATAATCTCATTGGTCATCCAAGATCGCACACATGGCAACTAATTGCATGATGTCCGCCATTCTTTAAAAAAGTAATTTAATTAGCCAATAATGAGCAATCAATCCACTTGTGTCTTTCTTGGCTTGGTCATTGTAAATTTTGGAAATCTTATATTTCCAAAATTGGAAATGTCTTGGAAACATCATCTTTCCAAAATTGGAAATGTCTTGGAAACATCATCTTTCCAAGACATTTCCAAGCGTGTAAATGTGGACTTTTTTCCAGTGATAATAACTGGAACTATAACTGGAAATAAAATTTACCAATGATAAAATAAAATAACTTTGGCCATGACAATGGGGAAAATATTTCATCCAGAAAATTTTCCTGTAGGTGACGATCCCGTTACATAGACAGATCCCTACGCTCATCCTCCTGATGAATACATCCGTGTTAGAATTGATCTTCAGTAACCCATGCTTGAGGCGACTAACGGGATCGGGTGATCAGGCTCGATGACTGGGTTGACACGAGTTCCTGTGTGCAAACTCAAAACCTTAGGTGCAAATTCATTTTCTCATGCTGTTGCCACTCTCTGGAACTCTCTACCATCGGATTTAAAAACCTCTCCATCACTCCCAGTCTTTAAGTCCAAGCTCAAAACTCACCTCTTCAAGAAATATATATGACGTCAACTTTCCTGTACATATAACCTGCATATATGTTATGCGCTTAGAGCATGTCCCTGGGTGGTGTGGATGAGGCGCTATAAAAGTATTCTTCTTATTATTATTATCGTATCCCAATTGCGTAGACTGCCTCCGTGGTGTAGTGGTTACAGCGGAAGGTCGCGGGTTCGATCCCCGACCGCGTCATACCAAAATACGTTAAAATATGGTACGTGTTGATCCCTGCCTGGCGCTCGGAATTAATGGGTACAACAAGGACTGGTCGGCTCAGAGTCAGTATAATGTCCATTGCGGCATGGTATCTCAGTGGGCTAGCACTGTTAAACCAGCTTCAGTCTGGGCTAGTACAAGCAGCCGCACATACACATACACACGCATGCAAGTCGTCATATGAGCGAAATATTCTCAAGCACGACTTTAAACTCAATTGCACTTCACCTCACCTCACCTCACGTCACCTCACTGAATTGTGTAGATTGATGTTCATACTGTTGATCCCTGGATTGTCTGGTCTAGATCCGATTATTTACAGACCGCCACCGAATTGATGGAATATTGCTGAGTGCGGCGTAAAACTAATCTCACTCGCTCACTCGAAGTTTCGACTTTTGAAAATACACTGGGAGGAAGTAGAAAATAATCAACCATCCTCTCCGTGTAAACTGCTTTTCGAATACCAGTGTTGTAGAAACTCTATAGGTAGTCAGCTTAGAACGTCTGCCACGACAGTATGTTCCTGGGATATCTTTTGTTCTAACAAAACCATAACCAATAATTAAGTGAACCATTGTTATTTCAACTCTAAGGCTGAAATGACCTGCTGTCATGCATGAGACACCGTTACTGAACACAGGTGACATATTCGCTCACATTTTGTACATTGGACATTTATAACATGTCGTGCCTCGTACTGGCATACACTAAAGCACGCCAGAACCACATATTTTATTGATCAGGTACTTAGCAAACAGGAATGTATGTGTTACATTCATTTGTAGATTCCCTGGCCTTTATATCGCCGGAATACTGCTAAAAGTCGCGTTGTATTTTACTGACTTTCTCACATTCCTTTGAAATTTAGCAAATGTTTACAGGTGTTTTCAGCTGTCAAATTATTGATTTACAAATATCCAAATGAATACAATTTGGAGTTACTGTCATTTTAAAAAGAAAACTGATTCGCGTATTACATTCAGATGTATGGTACAGAGGCGATATATTCGACCAAAGTGCATAATATGAAGAGAAATTACATAATATTAATTGCATGAAAGCCAGGAGAAAATGTTCTGAAACATGAATGAACTAAATGAGCAAGTGGGTGAGCAAAATGACTCTGAAGATAAAACATGATCAGAAATCATAACATACAGTACAACATGCAACTTATGTCAGCAATGCCAGCAACATACGCCACAAACAACCGAATTCTGAAAATCCCTATGTTGCTAGGGCATTCAAGTGAATGGAAGACATGCCCCTTGGCACCAATCTCTTTCTGATCTGATTTGCCATGATGATACAGCATCGTTTGATAATGGTCAAAATGAAAATTTGGATCAACTGATTTACCCACATGAATAAAAACCAAACCGACCAATCAAGCACCATCAAAACAACGCAGATATTTAGTTAGCCCTTAATGTGCACAGCGCGTCTATGTGCGGCATACTCAGTAGAATGATATGAATACGTGTCATTAAAACTTACTTTAAATGCTATCGCAAAGTTTTTAAGTTGACATGCATGATGCAATCTAAATTATTTGGAAACCTGCAGGTGTCCATGCTTAAGTAGCACACAACAGATAAGAGAAGGTAGGTATGTCGTTGCTTTAGAAAGATAAACACGCACACCCAGTTCTAGTTAGACAGAAATCAGCATATATATATTTCAAGCAGCTCAGTGCATGACTCAGTGAAGATTTTAGCTGGTGTTTATGTATTTGACGAACTCATCGAGAAGCATGATGAAGATATTGGCTTTTCACTTGCTCTGTCTTGGAATAGTCCATGGAAGGAAGAATGTTTTATTTCTGGTTTCGGATGATATGAGACCAAACCTTGGTGCCTACGAAGGACCAGATTTTCCATCTCCTGTTCATCCGAAGATGCACACCCCGAATTTCGATGCGCTTGCTGCCAGATCCCTGTTACTCAAGCGAGCTTATGTCTCAGTGGCTTTATGCAATCCGAGCAGGACGGCCGTCCTCACCAGCAGGCGCCCTGACACAAGCCACATCTGGCAAAACGAACTGTACTTCCGTCAGTATGGGGGTAATTTTACAACACTACCCCAGTATTTTAAACAAAACGGTTATAGAACCATTGGAATGGGGAAAGTATTTCATCCAGGAATACTGTCCGGAGGTGACGATCCTGTTTCATGGACAGATCCCTACACCCATGCTCCTGATGATTACATCAAAGTTGACAACGTCCTTATAGAAGCAGTCTCAGAGGAAAGAGCTAAAGCACGACCACTTCAAGATCAACTTCTGGCCGAGTATGCCATCCAGGCGCTTAAGCAGGTGGCCCCTAAAGCTAAATCAGGTGAGCAACCGTTCTTTCTTGCTGTGGGATTCCGTAAACCCCATGTAACCTGGAACTTCCCTGCCCGCTTTAAGGAGTACTACCCTCTGGAAAGTCTGAGGCTGCCACCAAATTACTATGCTCCTGTAGGAATGCCAGCCATAGCTTGGCACAATTTCGTTAATCTGACTAGGTATACAGATATGCAACCCTACAACGTGACACACACTGGCCATATTAACTTTACATTTCCCGACCAAATTACTCTTGAGATGCGACAAGCCTATTACAGCTGCATAAGCTACATAGACTATGAACTTGGAAGGGTCATTGCAGAGCTGGATAATCAGGGCCTGACTAATAATACTATAATATCCTTCTGGGGTGACCATGGATGGCAGTTGGGGGAACATTCTGAATGGCAAAAGGAAACTAATTTTGAAGATGCTACCCATGCTCCTATGATGATTCATGTTCCCGGAGTTACTGATCATGGTGTTGTCACTGAGAAACTTACAGAATACGTTGATCTGTATCCTACACTCGTTGAAGCTGCAGGACTTCCAAAACTCGACATGTGTCCACCAAACTCTCAAAATGTCAGTCTGTGTACAGAGGGTACAAGTATGGTGCCACTTATGACGAATCCTACAACGGACGATTGGAAAACTGCAGCATTCTCAGAGTATGCCCAGAAAAGCAATGTAATCGACGGTGACGCAGTTATGGGATTCAGCATGAGAACTGAAGAGTATCGATACACAGAGTGGATCAACTTCAAGGCCATGCCTCTGTATAAACCGATGTGGGACGAGCTGCAGGGAGTTGAACTCTATGATCACATGAAAGACCCAGAGGAGAACTATAACCGAGCAGATGACCCATCCTACAAAGACGTCAGGGTCGAATTGTCAAGGAACCTGAGGCTGGGCTGGCGTGGAGCTCTTCCTAATAGACGCGTCTGAGGTCAACACCGCCTGTAACTTGCGCTGTTAAAAAACTTCTCGAAATATAAATGTTCACTTTGCTCAGATGTCTTTTGATCATTGTTTTCCCATTAAGACTTAGGTGTGAATGGATCTTGATGTACATATAACAGAGACAACATCACGGTCAAAACGTTTTGGGAGATGAACAGATAGGTTAATGGAGTGATGACCTAAATCAGTTGGTTTAGTTACATTCATAGGTGTTTTGGGGTTGATTGTTAAGAGCCGCACTCAGCAATATTCCAGCTATGTGGTTTGGGTCTGTAAATAATCCAGTCTGGACCAGACAATCCAGTGATCCACAGTATGAGCATCATCCTACCCAAGTGGGATACGATGACACGTGTCAACCAAGTCAGCGAGCCTGACCATCGGATCCCGTTAGTCGCCTCTTACAAGCGTGGGTTTCTCAAGACCAATTCTACCCCGGATCTTCACTGGTTTACAAGGAAACGTGTTCAGTGTTGGACTCGTTTGATTCGTTACTTGTATTGTGCCCTTTGTTGTTGCATGTGGTGTTCACGTAAGCTGGTATGTGTGGGCACGATAGAAGGAAACAGTGGGGTTTAATTTCAATCAGTTAGAATGCATGTTTCCATCTGACTAATGATCAAACGTTCAATGTAATGCAAACATTTTGCATTGTGCACATTCAAATTTAGTAGAATCGTGGCTCGATGTATTGAGACTTTGTGACCTGGAAAATAACGTAAAGTTTCGAATAACTAAAAATTATATTATAAGAATTTATTTCCATCATTAAAGTAAAAGGCATACGTAAATTGCAGTGCCACGATACACTGCTTACTGCGGACAGGTTTAGTCACCCACTGGATCTAACAAGACAGATTAAAGTCAGAGCTCACTCAAGTTTATCATCACAACTCACTGTTAACCTGTTTCACCACAGATCACTCAAGTACATCATGACAGTTCACGAAGTAGGTGGGGTGAGGTGAAATGGGGTTTACCGTCGTACTTAAGAATAATTCGCCCAGATGACGACGTGCATGCGTGTGTATGTATGGCTGCTTGTACAACCCTAGACTTAAGCTGGTTTAACAGTGCTAACTCAGTAAGCTCACTGAGACACCATGGCGAAGTTAAGCTCAAGTGAGTGAGTGAGTTCAGTTTTACGCCGCACTCAGCAATATTCCAGCTATATGGCGGCGGTCTGTAAATAATCCAGTTTTGGACCAGACAAGCTAGTGATCAACAACATGAGCATCGATCTGCGCATTTGGGAACTTATGACATGTGTCAACCAAGTCAGCGAGCCTGACCACCCGATCCCGTTAGTCGCCTCTTACGACAAGCATGGGTTACTGAAGATTCATTCTACCCGGACCTTCAGTGGTCCAACCCACAAAAGAAAAAACAAAATAAGAAACTTAAGACGAAGATCCCCAATACAACTGAAACATCAGACCTCCAGAACTTATTTGATCCCCTGGAGATGGATGTTCCTCCATCTTCACAACATACCAGTAGCAACAACTACTCTTCACGTTCACGTGTGCGATCACCATTCCAATCTTCTTCAGTGGAACCGCTGCGGACTTAGGCATAATTTGCATGAGCTGCAGTTATTGCCAAACGATCCATCAGCAATGTGTTAAACACACAGATAAATTTGATGTAAGACACTATTATTAATTTCATTCTCAAGAACGCTTGAAATTATGTACAAATCTTTTATCTTACCCATATTTGACTACTGCGATAATATTTGGGATAATTGTAACAAAGAACAAGTAAAAATGCTAGAAAATCTACACTTGGATGCTCTTCGAACAATATGTGGAGCAGTACGAGGAACTAGTCACGAAAAGCTTTACAGGGAAACGGGTTATTGCTCCTTGTCTGACAGGCGACATTATCATAAATTATGTATATATTACAAAATGGTCAATGGGCTGACTCCTAAATACCTATCATTATGGGTCCGACTTAGTATCTCCAGCAAAACAGGATATAACCTTCGTAACTCCAACGACTTTCAGACAAATGCTGGGCGCTTATCCCAGTATAACCGATCTTTCCTGTCTTCTTTTGTTAAAGCATCGAATGCACTTGATATCAATATCAGAAATGTAGATTCCCTATCTAGGTTTAAACAATTGATTTCCACAGATATTCAGATTTCTTCAAATTGTATATACATTGCTAGTTATGGCCAGCGACAATACCAAGTGATCCTATCCAGAATTAGGCTAGGTTGTAGTGATTTAAAAGCACACTTATTTGACAGATTCCTGATTGATGATCCCACTTGTTCATGTGGCCACAACAGAGAAGATGCTATCCATTTTTTTCTGTCATGTCCCCGCTTTGCCCAGTTTAGACTCGACAAATACTTTGTCCTTAACCACCTCAGCATATATACCATACTTCACGGCAATGACGATTTATCTCCTTTAGACAATGAAAACCTAATAAAATCCGTACAGAATTATATAACTGAAACTAACCGCTTTACGGAATTCAAGTAACAACCTATAAACATAAAATGCACTTGGTATCTTGTTCTTTATTTTCTTTTTTTTCTTTTTCTTTGGTTTGATTCATTCATTAATGTCCTAATGTCTGCTCCATAGACTTAAGTCAAGGTAATAATGAATTATATGCGGAGAAGCATTGACATAGGCCATATGGCCTGTTTGCTAATCCTATTTCCATTTTCTTATGTTGTGTATTATGAAAATGTAAACATTAATGGAAATAAAATACTGTTTAAATCATTTCATTCTTTTCACTACCGGGTGATAAAGTTACCGGTTACCTTCTGTTCTAGTGCGACACGGCGTCATTCATAGCCCTGTTCCCCTTAACACAAACATGCAAGCTGTAGCAGTTTGTCTAACATTGCAAATTGCCTTCACACTATGTTTCTTATACCTCCCTCCTTCTTTAAATCTTCAGCAGAAGCTTGAACTTAAAAAATATGCGACCAGCTCCCTTAGTCTTTTATTATCATGGGCGATCTATATGGACATAATTCTTTGCGAGGAAGTTCAAACATTAATCTAAAAGGAAAAGTGATCGAGGATTTCATATCTGATAACGACCTGTGCATCATTATTGATGACTCAGAAACTTACCTACATCCTGCTACAGGTACGTATTCGTCACTAGATGTGTCTCTTGTAGACTCAGATATATTGAGATATACTCAGATCAACTATTTTGAACATGTGTCCCCATCTGATATTCCTCCGTCATCATGATGGAATTTATAAAGCAACAACCCTGATTAGCTTTTACATGAACAAATGTGTATTAACAAAATAAAACCTGAACTTTTCCGGGGCATTCCTGAACCTATAAAAAATTTTTGATTAACTAACTATCATACCTGACGAATGTATCCCTAAGTCCTCTGCTGTTCCTCACATTCGAAAACCATAGTTTAACGACAATCCCACACAAGCGAGAAATGCACGGAAAAAGGCTGACCTCTATTTCCGTCGCCATCCTATGGTCCACAATGTAAATAAATACAAAATCTTAAATGTACTTTTAAACAAAGTAAACGTCAGTATTGGCAAAATTATGTATCAAGAAGAAATTCACGTATGCCAATGTCCAAGGTATGGAATATGATACTAAAACTAGCGTCCGCCACCTTAAAAATGAAAATGAAATATTAACAGACACTTCAGATATTGCAAGTAAACTGGGCGAAACTTTGGCTAAACACTATTCCTCGTCTAATGACGTACCTAACTTTCACAATCATCAAAATTAACAAGAAAAGAAAACTATTAATTTTAATTCAGATATTGGGAAAGATTGTATACTCCCCATCAAAAGTTTAGACTCACTAGTGTAAATGTAGCCATTTACTTAAGTCAACTGTTCTAAAATAAATTTTGCAAAACTGTCCGTACTGTTTAAAGGTACTGTTTACACGTGAACTGATGTATTGTAAAACACATTTGTAACGTTGAAAAAGATTATTGTCATGAGTTCAATAAATGATGAAACTCAGTGAAAATTGACGAATTCGTAACAAAACTTTACACCAAAACGCAGCTGTTCACATGCACGATATTTGCACATACTTTTCAGCAATTTGATGCATGATCCTCATGCAATTCATCTGCATAAGGTTTGCAGTTTGTTCCCCCAAGTTAGTGGAGAAATTCATCTTCGATGTAACCATACATATATACATAACATATAGTGAGTGCTTTAAGTGAGTTTAAACTTTTGATGGGTAGTATATATTGGGATGTTTTCTATTCATGAACTTCATAAAACTCTTGAACAAGCTCACGATACTGCTTCAGGAGCTGATAACATCCCTTACCAGCTCCTGAAGCATTTAGACGTCGGGGGAATTTCCTTCTTCATGGCCTTCAAATTATTGACCAATTTCACTGACCAGCTGCGTTTGCAAAACCATGGAACGCATGATCAACAATTAGTTTGGTACATGGAAACCAATAATCTACTTACTGATATACAATGTGGTTTCCGTAAAGACAGAAGTACAGTTGATCATTTAATGCGGTTGGAATACTTTGAAGAAAATGCCATAATTAACAAACAACATGTAGTGTCTATCGTTTTCTATCCAGACCACATGGAAATTTTAAAAGATTTACCTGATTTTGGATTGCGAGGCCGTTTATATCCAAGTTTTTAAATGACAGGCTATTTGAAGTCCGCGTGGGTTCAACGCTGTCTGATCATTATAATCAGGATCAGGATGTCCCACAAGGCAGTGACTTGTCTGTAACATTATTCACTGTTAAAATTAGCAGTTTATCGAAAGTTTTAAATGATTCATTTGATGGATCACTTTTAGTGGATGATTTTTATATTTCTTGTCGTGGGAAAAATACGCATACCATTTTACGGCAACTGCAGCTTTGTTTAAGCAAAATAAATAAATGGTGTTTGGTAAATGGATATAAACTTTCAAAATATGAACCTCAGAAACATCTTTAATTTAAATAACACACCTATTA